TGGTTGAAGTCCCGGGAATGGTCTGGCGTGACTTAGGATTGCCATTACGCAGCAGTAACGTTGATTCGCGGCGTTGAAGTCCCAGGAACGGTGCTCTGGCATGACCTACGATGTCAGGACGCAGCAGTCACGCTGATTCGCGGCGCTGAAGGCAGAGGAAATGTGTTTTGGCGCGATTGAGGATTCTCAGACGGTTGTCTTCCAATGGGGGACTTCCTGCAATGGAGATACATTCTCGCAGGGACCTATGAAGAGAGACCTTCGAGGGCGTTTTTTCTGCAACATCGTTGATGCGTCTGGGATTTACATTGGTCCTCCTCCTCCTCCTCGTCCTCGTCCTCCTCCTTCTTCTCCTTCTCCTCCTCTTCCTCCTCCTCCTCGCCCTCCGCCTCCTCCTCCTTCTTCTCCTTCTCCTTCTCCTCCTCTTCCTCCTCCGCCTCCTCGTTGTCCTCCTCCTCCTCCTCCTCTTCGTCCCCCGCTTCCTCTCCGTAGCCATTTTGGCTCAAGTAACCATTTCGCTCGAACCTGGTGTCGCCGGGCCGCGCCGCCCGCCTCGGTTCGGGTGATGCCGGCTGCTGATCCCCGCGCTGCAATCGCGGCCGCCCGAGGTGCCACCTTGGCGGCCCATTCGGCGGCGGGGCTGGCCCGCGGAGCGCCTGCGGCTTGCCGCATGTTGCGCGCCGCCGAGGGCCTGTGCAGGGCGGCGGCGGCGGAGCTGGAGGCTTCGCGACGCCGTGCTGCTGCTCCTCATCGTCCCCCTGACGCCGAGCATGATGGAGCCCCTGATGATCCCGCGGGTGGCCTGCCGCCTGGCGCCGCGGCGCCGCGGCGGAGGCGACGGCGCGGTCGACATCGGCGAGGAGCCACTGCTGCAGAGACGAAGGAGATGGACGTGGAGGGCGAGGAGGTCGCCGAGGCCATGATGGAGGACGACAGCTGGGCGGACGAGCTGCCTGCGCAGCTGAGCTGCCCGCCGTCCAGCGCGGGGCGGCGCACGAGCCGCGCGGGCGCGCCCGCGTCGGTGGGCAAGGACAAGGGCATGAGCGCCACCCAGCCCCTCGGCGACGGTGGAGGAGCGGCCGCGCCCCGCGGCGGGGCCGCGGTGGCGGCGGCGGCCCACGCCTCCTCGGCAGGCCAGGAGGCCCTGGCGGTGGCCGACGGCGGCGGTGCTGGTTCGGCGCAGCTTGGCACGGCGCAGCCCTGCCGCGAGGAGCGGGTCGACGAGCACATCCGGCGTGCTCGCAAGATGGTGCTGCAGAATCTCCGTGAGCCAGCGCTGGAGAACGGCTAGAAGAAGCGCCGTGAGCTGAGGCCGCTGGCCCACCCTGCCTCGGGCGTGTCGCCTGCGCGGGGTGCCGAGGCCAGGGGCATTCACTCACGAGCGAGAGCACGCGAGTTTAAAAAGTCCCCCGCTTCCTCTCTGCGAGCCAGGGCCCAACAGTTGGGGGCAACGCCTGGGCAACAGGCTGCAGCCCTGGCTGACACCAGCATCCACGTGCGCCCCTCCCTCCTCGTCCTTCTCGTCCTCTTCCTCTTCGTCCTCCCTTTCCTCGTCGTCCTCCTCGTCCTCCTCCTCCTCCTCGTCCTCGTCCTCCTCTTTCTCCTCCTCCTCCGCGTCCTCCTCGTCCTCCTCGTCCTCCTCGTCCTCCTCGTCCTCCTCGTCCTCCTCCGCCTCCTCCGCCTCCGCCTCCTCATCACCATCGCACATCCCGAGGCGCCAGGGTCATTCCACGAGTCAGAAAGGGAACACGACAACACTTTTGGTTAGTTTTGCTCTTGGGCAAGAGGGCATCAGTCAAGTAAGCAAAAACAGCGCAGCAGTCTACACACTCAAGAGCGTCAGCCTCGTCAAAGGCGCCTGGAAATGAAGCCCCTTCCACCTCCCACTCCCCCTCCTCCTCCTCCTCCTCCTCCTCCTCATTGGGCGGGAAGGGCAGTGGGGGAGGGGTGGGCCCGTCCCGCCTCCGCCTCCTCCTCCTCCTTCTCCTTCTCCTCCTCCTCCTCCTCCGCCTCCTCCTTCTCCTCCGCCTCCTCCTCCTCCGCCTCCTTCTCCTCCTCCTTCTCCTCCTCTTTCTCGTCCTCCTCCTACTCCGCCTCCTCCTCCTTCTCCTCCTCCTCCTCCTCTTCCTCCTGCTCCTCGTCGTCTCGGCGGTTCTGGAGGCCGCGGGGGCCTCCCCGCAGATCCTGGGGACACCTTGGGCAAGGTACACCCTTGGCAACACCCGATTCTCTGCCAGGCACAGGGACACAGGGATCCGCACACGCTCCACCCCCCCCCGCTCCTCCCTGCCCCTCCTCCTGCCCTCCTCCTCCTGCCTTTCCCCCCTCCCCTCTCTTCCTCCTCATTATATCCTCCTCCTCCTCCTTTCCTCCCCCTCCCCTTCTTCTTCCTCCTCCTCATTCTTATCCTCCTTCTCCTCCTCCTCCTCCTCCTCCTCCTCCTCCTCCTTGCTTCTGTCATGCGCAGACACGGGGATCCGAGCATGATCCACCTCCTCCCGCTCCCCCTCCGGGGGCGTCAGCAACGCGGCCTACTCAGGCGGTGGCGGTTGTGATCAGGACCACCTCAGCGGCGCTGCTCTCCAGCTGCCTTGTCCTCCTCCTCTGCTGCCCGCCCTGACTCGGCCACGCGTGCGTGCTCTTTTTGCTGTTCGCTCGCCGAGGCTTTGCTACATCGGTACCTTCCCCATCTTCGGCACATTCGACACGAACTCCTACGTCTTCCTGGTGGTGTGGAATACCGGGGCCCCCGCGGGGGCAGCGTGCACAGGTGGAGGATGAGGAGAACGAGGACGAGGGGGGGGAGGAGGACGTGGAGGAGGATGAAGGACGAGGGAGTGATTGAGGGGGCGAAGAAGGGATGATGCTGATGATGGTGATGATGATGATGCTGATGATGATGCTGATGATGATACTGATGCTGATGCGGATGCTGATGTTGATGCTGATTCTGATGCTACTGCTGCTGCTGCTGATGATGATGATGATGATGATGATGCTGATGATGATGATGATGATGATGATGATGATGCTGCTGCTGATGATGATGATGATGATAATGATAATGACGATGATGATGAAGATGCTGATGATGATGATGATTATGATGATGATGCTGGTGATGATGCTGATGATGATGATGATGACGATGATGATGATGATGATGATGATGATGATGATGATGATGATGATGATGATGATGATGATGATGATGATGATGATGATGATGATGATGATGATTGATGATGATCGTGTCGGTCGGAAAGAGCCCGTTCTGTGGTCGCTTGGAGGGGAGGGGGGGGGGGGTGGAACCGGACCCCCCCCCTTGTGACGGCGGGGGGTGGGTTCGAACCTTCCCCCCCTTCCTTTTCTCCTCTAGTTCTCCTCTCTCCCTCTCCTCGGGCCGGCGCCTGCGTCGGTGGCAGCTGGCGGCGGCGGCGGGGACGACGATTTCCTGTTCTGGCTCTGGTCATCGTCGCTGCGTCCCCGCCGTCGGCGCTGCTGGCGGCCGCCAGCGCCGGCGCCGGCGCCGGCGCCGGCGCCGAGGGGGGGGGGGCGGCGGGGGTTCGGGAAGGGGGGGGGGGTTGGGGGGAGGGGAGTCCCGTAGGTTTTGATCGACGGCGCCGAGTGTTGGGGGGGGTTCCACCCCCCGATTCGAAACGCGCCGCCGAACGTTCCCAAGGCAAGCGCCCGTGAAACGCGCTCTCTCTCATTTCGATGCTGCTGATGATGATGGTGATGATGATGATGATGATGATGTTGATGCTGATGCTGATGTTGACGATGATGATCAGGGCAGTGACGATGACGATGGCGATCGTGATTATGATAATTCGTGGACGTGGTGATGAGGATACGGGCAAACATGAATAACGATATGGGGCATATCCTGCACACACATATATACGTATGTATTCATGTATGAATGTATGTATGCATGCATGTATGCATAGATGTAGGTATGTAGGTTGGTAGATCGGTATGTAGGTACATGGGTCAACATGTATGTATGCATGCACGTGTGTATGCATTTATGTATACATGCATGTATGCATATCTGTGTGTATGGACACATGCATGTACGTATGCATGTGTATATACATATTTATGGATCGATGAGTGTAGATGCATACACATGTATATGTACGCATACAGTACCAATCATGCATGAACATCGTATGCGTGTATCAAAGTAGGGGTCATATATATGTATGTGTATATATACATATATAAATGGTAGCCCCCCCCCCACATGATCATACATGCTCCTCCTTATCTGTCATCATGCCTCTCCCTGCTTCTCTGCTCCTTCCTCTTTTTCCTCTCTCTTTTTTCTCCCCCTGCTCTCCCCTCTTCTCCTCCTCCTCCTCCTCCTCCTCCTCCTCCTCCTCCTTCTCCGACTCCGACTCCAGCGCGACAGGTCTTCTTTTCGCGAGGAGGAAGAGGATGACGGCATTGCAAAACAAAAAAACACAATGAAAAACCAAAGAAACCAAAACCTTACGATTGGACAGCTCGAACAACACATGGACCCCCCCCCAAAAAACAAAAAAAAACAAAGATTTCAATACTTACGCCACCCCCGCCGCCGTAACCGAGAAAGCCTCCCAATCTTTTTTTTTGGGGGGGGTTCCAGGTGTTTTTGGAATTGTCCTGTCTTGAGGCTTTGGCTTCTTTTTTGTTTTGTGTTTCTTGTGTTTTTTGGTTTTCCAATGTCGCGCTGGCCTGTGACTGGCCTGGGGCACATCTCAATGCACCCGACGCTTTCTTTTTTTTTGTTGTGTTTTTGTTTTTGAAAAAAAAGGAGTTGAGCAGAAGCGGTGAGCATGCTCGAATCATGGGTGTTCATACAGCGCGGAGACGGCTCTTCTGGGGCACATCCTGGGCCCGAGCCGACAGCGCGCCTGTGGGCGCGGGCGCGCGCAGCCGCCCATTCACTCGAAGCAGAGGAAAGACGCGGCGGCCTCCTCCTCCCCTGCAGATGGCATTCGAGGAGGCGCATCCACGCCGCTCTTGCCCAAGGCCTGCGAGAGATCCACCTCCAGCTCGCCGCGGGCTGGGGCAGCAGCCGCAGATGCCGAAGCCGCCCCAGTGGCCTGCCGCTTCGCTGGGGACTGGGAGCTGTCGGTGTCGACCGTGCCAGACAAGGCAGCCAAGCTCCTGAACCTCCGTGTCTCTGGAGACTGGGGTTCTTCCTTCACGGCGATCTGCGCGCGCGCCGGAGCAGCCGTCGCCGTGTCTCTGGCCCTGAAGGCGTTCTCCGCAAAGGTCTGCTCCTTCTGCAGCAGCGCGTCCTTGTTCGGCGGCGGCGTGAGGTCCCCCGCCTTGAACAGGCCGTAGAGTCGCTTGCCCTCCGTCGTCGAGTACTCGTCCAAGCTGCAGATCGACTTGCGCTGGACGTCGGCCTCTCGGCCTCCTCAGTCCCTGGGGCGCGCCAGTATGCGTGGGTCTCAGTGTTCGCGAAGAAGCCCCCCCGCTTCGTGAATGCCATCACGCAAGCGCGAGTAGCCGAGTAGCCTTCTCGTGATAGGCTGGCCTGACGAGGTTGAAGAAATCCTGGAACTTAACGCGCGGCCAGCAGTCATTCTTCACTTCCTCGGGGTCGCACACCTGGTCTGCAATGGCGCGCGGGTCGCCCTTCACCCACTTGGTCGCCCCCCACCGCGCCCAGCGCGCGGACTCGAACTTGCCGGCGCCCAGGAAGGCCTTGACCTGTTTCGACGGCCATTGGTTGAGGGGACCATCATCCAAGAAGTCGCCCATGGTGAGAGAACCAGGCCCCCCGCGCAGGAAGTCGATCTCGGGCGTCCCGCGGGCGCGCGCGGATTCGGGGTCCAACTCGTGGATGCGGGCGCCGCGGCGGCAGAGCGCGAAGAGGCGCGACCGCCCCAGAGGCGTCTTTCCGAAACTCGGCTCGCCAATGGGCACGAAGGGCCCGAGCGGGTCCATGATTTCTGCCGTGGCGTTGAGCACCCGCGGCTTGAAGTGTTCCTCCGCCAGGGTGACGTGCCACTCGGTCTCCGTCTTCGCCAGCGAACCCTCCGCTGCGAGCCCGCTTAGCGCCTTTGCCACCAAGGCAATGGGCCAGCCGTGGAGGGGGGCGCCGTTGCGCAGCGCCTTCGTTTGTCAGATCAACTGCTTGAGGTCGGCCGTGCAGCGGGGCGCGTTCTTCAGGATGCACTTGGAGCCAGCGTTGATGGCGTCGCCCGACAACTCGTAGAACTCGTTCACCCGGGCATTTGTCTTGACGTCTGGCGACAAGAAAACGCAACTGCTCCCCGCCGAAGCGCTCAAAGGCGCACTGCCATACCTTGACCCCCACCTTGCAGCACCAATGAAAAAGCAGCGAGGGCGCGGCGGCGACCATGCCAGGTTGTCAGTTTCCTTAGGTGGTAGAGAACTTGCAAAACAAAAATGCCGCCGCGCACTCGCCGTCTTTTTTTCGAGGCCGTGCACCTTGGGGTGCTGGAAGCAGAGCTTCTTGACGCTGCCGAAAACCATGCTTGCGAAGATGGCCGTCTTCGTCTTGCTGGGGGTGATGCAGTGCTTGATGGCGGTCTTCGAGCCGTCGGGGCCGTCGAAGATACGGATCTGGGCGGTCATGTGGCTCGGCGGCGCCGTCTTGAAGCCGAACGGTGGCGGCAACTTGTGGTGCTCGTCATCCTTCGACGCCGCCTTGTGCAGCTCGTCAAGCTCGGGGGGGATTGGGTCCGCATGCCCAGTGATAAAGTCGATGTAGTGGACAAGCGGGTTTTCGTTGTCCCCGACGTCGTTGGTGAGCCTGAGAAATGGTTCTAGCTCGCCCTTCGGCATCGCGGCCGTCGCCGTGGGCTTGGGCAGAGGGCGGCAGAACCAGCCCTCGGTCGCCGCCTTGAGGTCCTCGCACGCGGACATGGCACGGTCTTGAACGGCGCTGCAGGTTTGCCAGAAGGCGCGCGCTCGGCGATGTGACTGAGCCCAAACGGCTGCGAGCTGAATGACGTCGCAGAAAACGGACGCAACAGAGCGGCTTCCCGGCCAGGGGTTCTCGGGGCACCGCAACCCAACGTGGGGCAGCAATTGGTTGGCACTGTTTTGCAATCGGCAATGTCAGAGGCGCGAGCGGCTGCGGGAAACTGACAATGGGTACCGTTCAAAACTACGGTTGCGCAGGCCGCGCCCGCGCCTCGCTGCAGGCGGCAGCGCAGGCCGCGGAGACCGAAGCCTGTGCCCGCGTGCATGCGGTGGCTCGGCCGCGCGCCGCCCGCGTCAAAGACTGCTGTGCGGTGTGGGGGTAGGCCGAGCGACTGTTGTGCGATCCATCCCATCGTGCTTCACGTGGTGGACCACTCGACCTCCGCCGTGTCGTGCCAGCGCGGGTAGCCGGTGGAGGTGAGCGCCGCGGTGCACGTGCGGTCGCGGTCATCGTGGTGGATGCATTCCGCCGCCACTTCGAAGCATCTGTACTCGCGGACAGGCGCGTCGCCTACTGCGGGGTCGCCCGACACCCGCGGCGGGCCCGCGAAGCCAGGCGCCACGGAGGGGATCGCACTCTTCTGGAATTGGAAGAAGTTGGGCCAGAAGCGCACGATGAACTTGTCCTGGGGCCAACCGAAAATACACTGCTCACCGCCCCAATGCGAAGTGTGTATATATATGCATATATTATTTTTCTTATATATATATATATATATATATATATATATGGATGTGTATATATACACACACACACATTCTTATTTCTTTATTTTTACAGGGCCGGGGGGCCCGGAAAAGCGGCGCACGGTTCCCCCCCCAAAAAAAAACGAATTTCGGCCTCCCCGAGCCTTTGGGGCGCTCCTGCAGAGTGCTCCGTGTCTGTCCTGCGAGTGCGACGCGAAAAAAAAAGCCCCCACGACGGCCAAAGAGGGCCCCGGGACACCCACAGATCGGCCCAAGACGCCCAATCTGGGCCCAAGACTGCCCAAGACGCGTCCAAGACGCCCCCAGAGACCCCCAAGAGGCCTCCCAAGAGAGCCCCGAGAGGCTACAATTGTTGATTATATATATATATATATATATATATATATATTTATATATATATATATATATATATATATATATATATATATATATAAAAAGATATGTTTTTGGCCTTCTCGCTTTCCCCGCTTCCCGACGCTCCACAGTGGCCCAAGAGGCTCCCCAGATCGCCCCAATACTGCCCCAGAGGCCTCCAAGAAGGCCCGAACGCGGTTCAGGAGGGCTCCGCGACCGCCCAAGAGGCGCCCAGGACGGCCCAAGAGAGCACCAAGGCGGCCCCAAGAGACACCCAAGAGGGCGCCCAAAAATTCGAATACTACATTTTCCGCAGCGAGAGGGCCCCACGAAGCCCGGAGAGAGCCCCATGAGGCTCCAAGAGGCTCCCAAGAGGCCCCGAGGTGCCCCCGAGAGGCCCCCAAGAGGCCCCAAAAAGATCCCAAGAATCCCAAAACACCCCCAGGAGGCTTCAAAACTGCCTCCCAGAGGGCCCCGAGAGGCGCGCCACGAAGTCCCAGCGCGGCCCCAGAGGCCCGAGTCATGGCCCGAAAACCACGCGGGGGCATCGAGGGGGGGGAAGGGGGGGGGAAGGGGGAGGAGGATGAGGGGGGAAAGGGGGGCGAGGGCGAGGGGGGGGGGGCGCGGGGGAGGGGGCGAAGACGAGGGGAGGGGGGCACGGGGGATTGAGCACCTGGACGCGGTGCCCTTGCCCACCTTACCGGAGAGGGCCGGCCGAATCCGAGGGGCCCCTGGGGGATTTCAAAACCTGCGCCGCTTCTTGCACTACCTTCGGGCCCCCCTTGGCGGCTTGGGATAAACCTTTCCTACTTCGGGGGGGTTCTCTCACCCTTTGCCGCTTGGCTCGCAGAGAGGCCGAGCGGCGCCGCGCCGCGCCGCCAGGGATGGGGAGAATGGACAAGAAAAGAAGCGGAGAGGGGGGAGAGGAAGAGGAGGAGGAACAGGAGGAGGAGGAGGAGGGAGAGGAGGAGGAGGAGGAGGAGGAAAGGACAAAGGGAAGGAGGAAGAGGAGATAACAGAAAGTAGTCTAATCCGCTTCGCCAGAGATATGCTCGCAACTCCGACCTCAGAAGCGCCTTGCTTCGCATCGGCCCCGCCGTTATCGCTTGAGACATCGTCGCAGCTCTGGGGCCCGAGACACTCTCAGTTGAGGTGTTCCAGCCACTGTCGCCTGAGGCACTCTCGCAAGTCTCACTTCGGAGGTGCCTTGCACCATGGTGGTTCCGCCACTTTCGCGTGCGACTTCTCGCAACTCTGAGTTCAAGGATGCCCTGAGCAGACCTGTTCAGACCACTCCTCGCTTGAAACTTCCTCGCACAGCTGACTCCAGATATGCCCTCCCCTGAGCGGAGGTGTTCAGGCCATTTTCACCCGGGGCGTCCTCGCAACGCTGACCTCGGCGACGCATTGCCCCATGGTAGTCTGGCCACGTTTGCCTGAGACCCTCGCGCCTTTTAGCGGCGCGATGATATGAGCAACTGGTCAGACCACTACCGCCTAATATACGCATGTGTACGCGCGCGCATAGTTACACTGACCGTTTGCATATACATGTACATATCCATACAGACGTATGTATATATATACATATGTATGTACATATGTACCATGCATTCATAGACGCATGTGTGTGCGCATGTACGCACGCTCGCACTCCGCTAGCGCGCGAATTCCAAAGGGCCAAGGTGCATGGCGCGCAGCGCCGCTGCAGTCTTGTATGTATGTATGTACGTATGTATGTATGTATGTATGTATATATATATATATATATAGCACCACCAATGTATACGCGACAAAACCAACGCTGGGCCCCCCCCGCCCCTGTCCTCGCCCGCGGCCAAGCGCTGAGACTGCGCGAGCCCAACCTTGCCGCGCTGAGTCGGGCGGCATGGGGCTGCCAGGCGCGACGTTCTGGATGAAGGCGTGCTCGAAAGCCGTGGCTTGAGATTTGCAGCGGGCTGGAGGCTGGGCGGAATTGACAGGTCACTCTGAAGGGGCCCGAACGCGCTCGCGGCGACGGAGGGCGGCGAGGGGGGTGGGCGAGCGGGCGGGCGGTGGCAAGATTGGCGGCGACGACGACGTGGCGACGACGGCAACGACTAGGCCCCATCACATCCACATGAGAACAGTCGGGTGCTGTCCGCCTCTTCATTCCCCACAAGCAACAGCATGCGTGGCTTCAAATGTTCTTTTTCGCTAGCCTTGACGTCGTGAAGCAAGTCGAAGCCAATATCCGCATCTGCGCACCTCTCGCCTGGGCGCACTCGCCATGCTGGCCCGACATGCCGCGACGCAGAACGCATTCCAGGGTTAAAACACAGCCCTCCGTGCAAGCAAGAGCGCCCCCCCCCCGCCGCGCACGCGCGCGCGCACGCGCGCGCGCACACACACACACACGCGCGCGCGCGCACGCACGCACGTTCGCGCGCACGCACGCACGCACGCGCGCACGCGCACGCGCACGCGCACGCGCACGCGCACGCGCACGCGTACGCGCGCGCGCACACGCACGCGCACACGCACACGCACACGCACACGCACACGCACACGCACACGCACACGCACACGCACACGCACACGCACACGCACACGCACACGCACACGCGCACACGCACACGCACACACGCACACGCACGCACAGCACACGCACACACGCACACGCACGCACACACGCACACGCACACGCACACGCACACGCACACGCATACGCACGCACACGAACACTACACACGCACAACGCACACGCACACGACACACGCACACACCGCATACACACCCACACACCACACACGCACACCCACACACACCACACACACACCCACACCCACACCACGCACACACACCACGCCACACCCACACCCACACCCACACCCACACCCACACCCACACCCGCACCCGCACCCACACCCACACGCACACGCACACGCACGCGCACACGCACACGCACACGCACCCGCACCCGCACACGCACACGCACACGCACACGCACACGCACACGCACACGCACACGCACACGCACACGCACACGCACACGCACACGCACACGCACACGCACACGCACACGCACACGCACACGCACACGCACACGCACACGCACACGCACACGCACACGCACACGCACACGCACACGCACACGCACACGCACACGCACACGCACACGCACACGCACACGCACACGCACACGCACACGCACACGCACACGCGCGCGCACACGCACACGCACACGCACACGCAC